CTGCAGTTCCGCATGGGTTAAAATTTCAGAATGACGAATTGTGAATTACGAATTCTTTTAAAGTAGAAGAATTTGTGTTTTCGTAGTTTTATTTTTTGTATTAAAAGTATTTTTTTACCTCATCATGCACCACACGGCATGTCAAATCTGGATCGACAACCACGTGAACTTCGACAAGAAGCTAAAGATAGAGGTTACGCTAGGTACCTTTTGGAACAAAATACGATTGAACTAACGGCGTTTTTCCGAAACTTACCCGTTCTCCGGTATGGTAAACCAGTAACGTATCCAGTCCCTTGATATGCTGAGAGTGTTCGACGCATATCCGGGCTACGCGACTGTACTCTTCCGCTAAAAATTCGTCAAAGGTATTTCAGCTAACGCTCCTGGCACGGGAGGAGAGACAGGGGGGGGACGAGAGAGAGAGACAGAGATGGAGAGAGAGAGTGAGAGTGAGAGAGCGCGTGAAAGAGAGTGAGAGAGCGAGAGAGAGAGAGAGAGATAAAGAGAGGGAGAGAGAGTGGACGAGAGATAGAGCGGTAGAGAAAGAGAGAGATTTTTATTACGAACTCACGCGTGCAAACCCGTCCGCTCACCCGCGGGAACTGCTCCAGGACCACCATTATCCAAGAAAATGCTACGTAAGTGCTGCAAATTACAGATCTTTTGGCTCTATAGATTTTTAATTACGCAATCAATGAAGCGGCCAGCGGATCGGCGTATTTCCAGTATTTTGACGTTGTAGCGCCTGAATGTTGAAACTTTTAATGTCAAGAATTTTACCGATGATCGCCACAGAAACTGTAAGCACGTCATTTCTTTGGTCAATGGCCAAGACTTTACTTGAAGTGGTGCCTAGAAATCGGGTGTAAAGTGCTTAAATAGCTACACAAGGCTCTGATTTTATTTTTAGAGGCTCGAATAAATAATTTTAACGTTTTTTGTATATAGCTGTACCTCTCCGATAGCACACGATCCACATAATTAATTTGAGAATGATTGTAGCAACCATAAGACCCAATGTGATGAGATCAAGGCCGGGTGAGGTCTAAAAACGGCGCATAATTAGAAAAACCGGCTATTTTACAAACTTTTGTTCCGTTTGTTCCGTTTAACTATTCTATTTAGCTAATCCGTTTAATTTAGTCATTAGATTTCACAAATTTAACAAAAAGGGACTTACCGCCTGATTGAGCACCGATTGCACAGACCCGAAAATAATATAAAAATTCGCCATCCCCATCACAATGCCAATAATGACGATGCTGAGATTCTCCAGTTTACTCCTCCCTCGAGGATACAGGCGGTAGTCCGTATGCACAATAGAATGCGAGGCATACCACAGGACTGCACCACTAGAAAGCAACTGGGGTTTCGTGTCGTAATTGGAAAAACAAAAACTAAAAATGTGTAGATTGCCATCAAATTAGAACAAAAGCCAAATAATGTGGCCAGGTTTTGATGCCGTAAACGGTACGAAATGCTAAAAATTACGGAAAACAAAAAGGAAAAGCCTTTGAAAGACATGAAAATCAACACAATCGTAAGACAAGGCAACAATAACAGACCGAAAAAAACCAGTTTTAATTACCTACCCTGTAATATCCACAACACTTTCCAACAATGTACTCACGATGGAAAGTGACGCGCCACCGGTCAATATTGTTGCAATTATTTTAAAGCATAGGAGAAGAATATTGACGAGAAGGACGGCTCGTGAGAGGACACTATCGCCTTTTTGCTGTAAATTATGGATTACGATATCTAAATATGTATACTCCACTATCAATTTAAAAAGTTTTTTTAAGCCACTAACCTCTGCATTTTCTTGCTTGGCGGTAGCGTCTGGGGAAGCGATTTCCTTGTCGTCTTCACGATACGCATCGATAAGCTCGGTTTGTTGCCTGAAATGTGGCATTCAAGGTTGTAATAAAATTTTTGAACTGACATAAATCAACAAAACAAGGTATTCAAAAGGAACTAAAGACTACGGGCGTAACGGAGTGTTGCGTAGCTAACGGCTGGACTACGCCTAGTTCTAAAGTACGCCCGTACCCTGTGCACTCTAGAGCTCCAAGGAATACTTTTTTTTGCTGGAAACTGATCCTTTAAAATCAAACTGAAGTTCAAAAGCCGTAAGTTTTTGTTATCTTTCCATTATATAGTTGTAATTAAGGCCCATGCAAGTTTTAAAGCTTAACGCTAAAGAAGTATTTAAAAATATTCAAAACTCTGATATTTGTTTTCAGTTTTCATCGACCAGAAACGAATAATTTAAATGAAATTTGTTTGGGGCGCAAAAATAATCTAATTAAATATGACGAATAAAAGGCATGAAATAGGAAAATGGACAAGAACTTACTGATAATACTCGTCCACCCGCTTCTTTTTACAACAAAGACAAAACTTTTTGCACTTTTTCTTCTTTTCCTTGGCTTCTTTCTGGAGGAGAGGGGCCTTTTCGGAGAGTGATTCCAAATCCGTCATCTTTTGCAGGTCAATTGATCAATAAATGATGTTATTTACAGCCGAAGCAATACAAATTGTGATTGGCCAGAGAACTTGCTCCCTTATCAAAAGGCCCCGTCAAAACGGGCGCTTCACTCCCGATCTAGTCTGCTTGTCTGTAGATGCCTCTTCTCACTCTCTCGCTCTGTCGCTCTGTCCTACTGGCTGTCCGATTGTGGCAGTCATGCAGAGCTTTTCGGAAATTTAGCGCAAAAACATACGAGGACTGCTTATCAAGCGGGGCAAGTGGGCACGTATGTCGTTCACGTAGCTGGAGAAGTGGATTTTTTGAGGAAATTAGTAGCTAATGCACGGAGGCAGCCAGAAATTGCTACATTAGGACATACCTTGAGCTACGGTTATGGATCTTCAGACGTAGAAATTCATAAATAGCCAAAGACGGGTATGTGTATTTTGATAGCTACGGACGTACCCGGACCGATTTTGTCGAAATATTGCGCGATACAGACCTAATCAACTTTGTTACATTGAAGTATCTATGTATCCATATCGAGAGCTCTGAACGCAGCCAGACTGGTTAAATACAGCTATATACCGGGCTAGCACTTGACCAGCCTATTTACGTAAACACATATCGAACGCTGAAGACGTAATCCGCGGTTGCTACATTGAAATCAACGGCTATAAACGTGGCCCCATATAAATATGTCGCCGGCTATAAACGTAACGAGGCTATATCAGTAGCTGCGGACGCATGACTTCGTTGAAAAGACGTTACGCAAGATTTACCCTTTTCGTTAAAGCGTTTTTCATCGATTTTCCAAGCCCCAACCACCCACCACAAACTACAATTCCCGAACGGGAAATGGTAATTTTCACCGTGCAAAATTACCGTAAACACGGGCACGGGGTACTCCGTTCTTTGGCTGAAAACGCCTTGTTCTATGTCCGCCTTGAGATTGTACCATTTTTTTAATAATCTTAAGGCATTTATTTTCCAAAATATCACTTCAAATTTTGAGCATCCGAACGCCAAAGAACGGCCCGCGGAATCAGGCGCTCCCCAAAGGAGAATAATTTCTTCAAATTCTTCAATTTCTTCAGCCGGCCAGCTGGGGCCGATTTTCCCCTAATTTGTACCCCGATCAGGGCCCTGAAGACGAGGTTTTGCCCTTACCTACCCCCCCACCCGACCCAAAAAGTGACGGCAATTTTGAACTGGATCTCATAGCCAAGAAATCTCTTCGAAAATATTTTTCTGAAGCGTCTGGATTTGTATGACGGCGATCTGTCCGGTATCTGGAGACCAGCTGGTGCTACGGCTCGAGCCGGAATATGTGAGTGTTTTTTTATTATATTAAAGGAACCCGGAAGGCATGAATTTTCGTAAGAATTTACCGCATTGGCAAAACGTCGTTCCCTTAAAATTAGAATTTTAAGAAAAGCCCTTAAACCCGAATTTAGCGAAGCCCACGGACCTGCTCGCCCTACCCGAGACGCCTATCGACACCCCTACACTCCTCTACCGCTGACGCTCAACAAGAAGTGCTGTCGCAGTTTCAACACCAGGACTCGGAGGACTCGACGCATTTAAAAGTATGAGAACTCCCTATTACGCCTTATGCCTTAAAAAAATATTTAAGCCACAAAATCCTTGTCATACTTTCGATGCGCGAGTTTTTCAAGGTGTGAATATTACGTGATTTTTTGCACTGCTAAAGCGTATCTTGGGGGCATCAAATCATTGAAATGAAAATGATTGCTTGGTCGTTTTGCACCTATCTGCCCAACGATAGGTCCTGAACCTGACCTCTAAAAACGAACGACTAACCTTCCCGCCCGCCCGACCAGACCAATTTCCGGATTTTACTTTCTTCTTTCTTTCACCGCCCTCTATCTTTCACTGACTCACGCGCGGCACTGCCAAACTACATCTTAATATTTTGCTCATTAGGCTTCTGCGTAATAGCAATTAACCTGATTTCCAAAATGCGCAATTTATTTCTGTTTTCGTGTTTTCTTAGTCAAGCGTCAATCGGGATTCGGGGGTAATGCACGCAATGATGCTCTGTTTTTTGCCTAGTGTGCTTTGCTCAACCCGTTTTCGATTTCTGTCCTTAAAGAACCTTAACATGTTTATCTAAACCCTGCTACCGGCCCGCTAATTAGCATTTGAAACACCAGCGGCTAGTCAAATCATGTGTTCGCACGTATGCCATCCACGACAGTTTCCTCGCTACTTTTTCAGAGTCCTTGGAAACCCCTGGAATATAACAAGTACTCCACCCCATTAGATGTGATTACTGGTTTCCGTAGATACCCCATCATTGCGCCAGTTCATAGGTAAGAAATTGCGGCGTTCAAACACATATTTTCGAAATGCCAAGTTCGACTGACTTTCACTTTTCTTTCTATACTGGATTTCTCTGAGTTCAGTTCGATTCATTTTCAATTCTATGCTTTTCAACGGCTTTTAAAGGGTGCTGAATCAAATCGAAATTACCAGTCTGGGGTTGAATAGCAGTTTTTGTTAGTAACTCTCAGATTTTTTTTGAATAGAACTTGCAAGTCAGTGGTCTCACAGAAATTTTGGGGCAATAAATAGACGTGAGAAAAGGGAAAGTTATCACCAAAACTTCGAGACTTCTAGAGGTTCTTCTAGAGCAGAACCATTTCGTGAAGTTTGTTTTAGTTTGGTACCGATTTTTGCTAAAAAAATAACCGTTCTATTTGCAAATATAGTTCGAAAGAAATTACTAAATTTCTCAAACATTTTAGTGTCGAGCTCCCTAAAAAGTTGTATTATTTATAAAAACTGTGAAAAGATCACTTACCTTTCATTTTCGTTCCGTTGCCGGTTTCTAATTTGCGTACAAAACGCCAATAAGCAAAAAACTGCTCATCCTAATTACTTCAAATTGGGCTTTTCAGAATCAGATGTGCGATTTATGTTATTTTGGCCGTGATTTGCCACGACCCCGTTAAATAATGCCAAATCTCTAGCTTACCCTATAATCATAATTCCCACCGATATTCACAGACCCTCATTAGCCACGAAACTCGTGGATAGCACGGGTCTGTCCGTTTTACCCCCCATTTGTCCCTCAATCTACTGCACTCCCCCTGACCGACAACTTCCATTCTCATTCCAGAATTGCGCCAAATTAGCCGCCACTCGCTAATCGTTCCGCACAGCTCGGGTCTGGTCGAGGTTTCGGGCTTTGATCGAATTCAATAGAACGGAATTGGACAAGGTGATCCTGACTCTTACAAATATGAAACACCTACCGCACTGAACGTACATTTTCTCTATATATACCCGTTTTTCGATCCTGGCGCTATTTTTGGCGCTATGGCTTGAGTTACTCCATTTAATATACCTTTTCTATACCTGTCGCGGCTCTTTCCAATTTTTTTGACATTTACGCTTTTGAAACATGCCGTGCCAAGTTTTTATAAATCATGGGAATAGATTTTTAATTAAATACCGTTTTATAGTTTTAACTGAGTTGATACGAACATGGCCCATACAGGGTGTCCAAAAAAAAACCCCTATAGCGGCGCGCAGACGTGTCCGATTCTCGCCGTTTAGGTATCTATCGAAAGCTCTCGACATGGCGAGAAAACAAGAAGAGTTCGGTTTCTTTATTATGTATTTTTATTGGCGAATTTTACCTCCAAAATCCATGAAAACGGCAGATTTATGCGAGATCCGCATGCTAATTGCGAAATTCCTATTGAAAAGCTACCTGTTTTTTAGAAAAACGCTGAATATCGGACGAATCAGAATAAATCTTAGAAAATGAAGCCCGCTTGTTTTCTCGCCTTTTCGCGGGCGTTCGAATGGTATAAAAATCATCCTGAGCTGAGCTTCCCACGGACCGCTAGAGGGGGGCGGGTTTGGGACACCCTGTACATTGGCGAAAAAGTCTTAACTGTAAGGAAAAAGAAATACGTAAAATCCCGATAGTTCCGTTGTTCTTTGAGTACTGACGTCTTTTAATAATTATTTTCGAATCTGTGACATCAAAAAAGAAACGAACCCGCTGGCCTCCTGCTCCTCACTGATTCAAACTCCCATGTGGCTTCCTCAGCAACGGCCCGGGGCCATCAGAACTCAGAACTCTGTCCATATTCCGGGGCCCGGATTAATTTTCTTGCCCTGGTTACACCGGTCTCCCATTGTCGAGATTCTGGAAACTTTAGCTCAATGCACCTCATGTTTTTTACAAAAACCTATTTGATGGTTTCAGCGAGCTAGCTTTTAGCTTCTGCTAGCCTGCTCCAGGGACGAAACGTTAGGGCTGCAGTTGCAGGCTTTTCACTTATTTATGAGCGTTTAAGTACCTGTTCCGGGGCGTTATAGTAATTTTCCATTTCCATAATCTTGCGCAAATGACCTCTGCCAGCTTGCCCAATCGACGAACTTTCCTAAGCCAACGAACCATTTCATGAATCCGTCATCGGTTCGATTGTATGCTAGTTTTTCGACTTTTCACCTATCTTCCTAGTACCCTTAATTCAACAAGTGATCACTGCTAGATTGCCCAATCTGTCATAAATCAAAGCACTTAACGAATTATACTCTGTTTTCTGAATGCATGAAATGTTTCAAAATCGGCGCTTCACGCTCGAATCCCTGACTTTCCGACCCTTTCATTCTTGCCCATCAATTAATTTCTTGCAGTATACCGGCTGCCGTCTGTTTTGCTACTCTACCAACCGGCTATGAATTTTGTATCCACCCTCATATTATTACCAAAATCACCACCGCAAAAAGTGGTCAATTTCCTCTCCACACCCTCAGCATGGCACCGATAATTTCATTACAAAAAGCTGGCAGAGGGTGGGAGATCAGAAAAAGACGAGGGAGGGAGTGAGAAAGCGAGAGAGTTAGAAAACGTGAGAAAAATGAGAGAGAGCCCGAGCGAGAGAGAGCCTGGGACACTTTTTAGGATTCCGAGGGAGTACGTGGGAGTCCGAGATTGCCTATCGGTTACCATAGCAAATTGCCATAC